GTAACTACTGTCTGACTTTTGTGATAAGCATTTCCTTGATTTTTTATATAGTTTATTACCTTAGCATGCATCTCTAAGATTGTTTAATTTTGCCCAATTTGGGGACTTTATATAAATGAAACCATATAGCATGTATTGTTAAATAGGTACATATACACATATGATAAACATGTCTGTGTATACACACATATATATATGTACCTTGTTCTGGCTGTCCACTTCCCTCATCATTTGTCTGTGGTGTAGAGAGGGAGGTTCATTTCTTTTCTTCTTGCTTCTACATTCCCAAACTAGGTCTCTTTAACGTTTAATTTTTTGTATCACATGGTCAGGAGGAAAGTGAAGTTTTTTTGTACTCCTTTTTTGAGGATCTGATGTACGACACAAGACAGTCAACACTGAAAGGTATTTGCCAATGCCACTTTTCATTATCTCTGAGTACTTTCCAGCAACACTGAGCCCAGGCCATTGGTCTTGCTTTCTTTTTGGCTCTATCTGTGGCTTTTTGTAGAAGAGGTCCTATGCAGGTGGTATCTTTGAACTACCTATAAATTGACTAGAGGCTAGAAAGGTGGAGATAAAGTTTTATTATAACAACTTTTCCTTCTCTAACTAGAGTAATTCATCCTGGAGGCAGAACAAGTGACAGGTACCTGCTCCACTTCCTATTTCACTGGAAATAATCCCTATCTGCTGCCTCTGACTGGGACATGCTCACTACTCTCTTCCTCAATGCACATGCAAACACATTAGCTGTCCTATCTGAATTTCCAGAGCAAGCTTAAGTTTCAAGCTTTCTGGACACCCCAGACAGAAGTACATACTCTCAAGCACCTACTGTAACACCTACCACAGTGCCTTATGACAAGCTGTTGAACAGGTCTCCCCTTCTCTCTGGGGTACTTTGTTCACCCAGGGGCAAGGTCATATCTTCATTTTTTTTGGTATGTCTTGCACCTAGCTCAATGCCTAACCTCCAATAGGTGCTCAATATTACAAGAGTAATAAATATTGGCAGGCTATATCTACCGTTTCACCACCTGCTGCTCTTAGTCACTCCTTTGTTTAGCTGTTTAGAAAACTTCTGAGCAGCAGGAAGCCTTGGTTTTACAGTTGAGCTGAGGAAGGATAATAAGAATAGCTAGATGATTTAAACCTAAATTTCTCATCATTCTTTCCTATTTTTATCTCATTTTACAGTCATCATGACCATTTCTACAAGGGTTTTATATTTTAAAAGGTACTTGTTTTTCAAGGTGCCGACATCTTCACATTACCGCGGAGTAGTCCTGGACGTTGTGTCCTCATTACCTTTACAGTGGAGGAAATAGTTAAACGTGTTGTGTTGCAGAATGCTGGCTCTTGCAATAACTTAACACTTCCTCAGAGTTATGTTTGGTAACATTCAAAAAATAAAATGCCAGTGCGGATAAGGAAACATGATTTTAATGCCAAAAGAGAAATCCCTTGTTTTTCTCTCTCACATGGGTGTATGTTTTTATGTCACTTTGATCCTGAGTGTTTTCTCATCATTTTTATATCTTAAAAAAACTGTTAGTTCAGAAAACTAGTGACTTTATTCCTGGTGTGGACTGGAAATTAATAGAACCATTGTTTGGATAAGGTGTCCATTTTATTTTATAGGCATTCAGATTATATCTTGCATTGGATTTTATTATAAGGCAATAATAACTTTTCCCGGTATTGCCTTTATTAAAAGAAAGGAGTGAAATACATATCCAGAAGCTTTTCTCATTCTATTGAATAATACAAAATGAAAACAATGCTGCAGAAAGGTATGACAGTTTTTTTCTGTAACATACAGGTAACGTTACTGCTACCAGTATTTGGTGAAAATGAACAGTCTCAGGATGTTGTGTCATTGCATCAAGATATTAACGATTACAACCGGAGATTCTCAGGGCAACCCAGATCTGTAAGTAATGTTACAGCTAGCAGTGCCAAGTGTGATGATGTAATGATACTTCTCGATTGTAAAGAAAGATTTATGAAAAATATTCTCTGACTGAAAAATCTCATTGCATGTGTTGGAGAAACTGTTTCAAACACTGAATTATAGCATTCCCAAAGACTACAGATTTCTGTTTTAAAAAAGATACTTAGGGAAAAGTCTTTCAGAAAGAGATTCCAGCATAAAAGCAACAGGAAAAATTGAAGAGAAATATAAAATTACAGATTCCTTAATTCTGACATAAGGTTATCTTATGAAGCATTTTAAAACTACAACGTCTAGAGAGTATTCCATAGTTGTATTTTATTCTGTTTTATTTACCCTGCCCTTGGTTTGAAATGGTCCTTTTAGTAACCCAGGTTTTGGTACATTATCTTAGCTCTTCAAAAGCGTTCTGTTTTTTAAATTGAAATATAATAAACATATAACATTATAATAGTTTGAGGTGTAGTATATGATTCAATATTTATATATATTGTGAAATGATCAACACAATGTTAACATCAATTATCACACACTTGCACATTTTCTTTTAAGTCTACTGTCTTTTCCTTTGTATATATAACATTACTAACTATGGTCACCATGCTATACATCCCTAGGATGTACAGCATCCCTAGGTGGTACTTTTGACCACACTTCACCAACACCCCACCACCTTTGGCAACCACCAATCTGTCTTGAGTTCAGTTTTCTTTCTTTTTAGATGCCACATATAAGATATGGTTTTGTCTTTTTCTCTTTCTTACTTCACTTAGCACAGTATCCTCAAGGTTCATCCATGTGGTTGCAAACGGCAAGATTTCTTTTTATGGCTGAATAATATTCCTTCATGTGTGTTTGTGTGTGTGGGTATGTATGTACATAATTATTTCTCCATCAACAGACACTTGAGTTGCTTCCATATCTTGGCTATTGTGAATAGTGCTGCAGTTAACATGGGGGTGCATTTGTCTTTTATTTTAAGTGTTTTTGTTAAGATAAATACCCAAAATGAAATTGCTAGATCATATGGTATTTCTATTTTCTAAATTTTTGGAGGAACCTCTGTACTGTTTTCCAGAGTGGCTACAATTTAAATTTCTACCAACAGTACACAAGGGTTCCATTTTCTCCACATCCTGACCCTCACTTATCCCTTGTTTTGTTGATAATAGCCATTGTAACATGTAACATGTAACATGTAACATGTAACATGTAACATTGTAACATGAGGTGCTATCTCATTGTGGTTTAGATTTGCATTTCTATGATTAGTGATGTTGAACACTTTTTCATGTACTTTTAGTCCAGCTATATATTTGAAAACATTCTATTTTTAAAGAGCACTCTATAGTTGATCACCCTCCTCCCCAAAAAAGGCATCTCAGATTAAAAACTATCACATTTTGCTGACTGGTTCCAGTTTTCTCAAACTGTTAACAATTCTAGAAGCCAGGTATATGTTGAACATGTACTTCAAAAACCAAAATATACTAAGTACCAATGCCCGGACAGCAAACTAGACTTTGTATATTCAGCTGCTTCATTTATAGGTCCACTTAGATGTTCCACAGGCATCTCAAACTTACATGCCTAACAAACATGTATAATGAACTGCTTCCCTCCTTACCTGAGTTAACTCTTCTTTCTTACTCAGCTTCATTTTGATTTCTTGCTCATTGCTGGGGGGAGAGGGGGGGGAATCCTGTCATTTTTACCTCATGAAAATATCCTGTGTCTGAATCCATCATATTAGTCCAAGCCACCATCATCCCTTACTTAGAACTATTACAAGAGCCTCTTAAGACTCTTTCCCACTGCACAGCAGCCAGAGTGGTATTTTAAAAACATAAGGCCACTGGTCTTGTGTTTTAAAATGTACAATTTTTCAACTCCTTGGTGTGGCTTACAAGGCCCTGCAAGAGCTGGTCTGTCCCTCCCTAAGGTCGTGTGCCGTTCTCCCTTGGCCTTCTCCCCCATGGCCTTCTCCCTAACTACTACAGCTCTGGGAATATACTCCTTACCTTTCCAGTCATGCTTTCCACTCTTACCCTTCCTCTTTGGAATGCTGCCTTCTGCTCTTCCCATGGCTGACTTCTAGGTTGTTCTTAAGTAGACCTTCCTCAGATAGCCTTTCCCGGATCAGCAGAGGTATTTTCTATTACCCTCTGTATATGCCCTTCATAGCAAATAGCAAAACCACCAATCCTGTTTCTATTTTCCAGTAGTCTAAAGTTTCATGAGGACAAAACTTATTACTATGTTCATAGTGCCAAATCTTGTACCTGGGATAAAGGCCCTAATGATTATTGAATAAATTAATGAGTTTACCTTAAAATAACTGATTATAACCACCCCTGCCAAGAATGTTAATTATTAATGTTTCAGTATTATACAACTATGCGTTTGAGCTACCTTGCATGTATTCCTTGTTCTCGGATTTCATCTAATTTAAGGACATAAGTTTTAACTGTTGTGGATGACAGCAGGCAAGTATTTTTGATGTCTATAAACAAGAAAAATTTAATCCAATCATTCTTGTCCTCCAGCTATTTGGAAGCCTCTCTTGCTGTTCTTCACCCAACAGCTTCCCCCTCACCCCCCACATATCCCAGTGGTAGCTAAGGGACTACATGTTTCAAACTCAAGAACTACGAGTACAATTAAAAAAAAATCACTGTAATTCATATTTTTAAGTGGAAATGTACCATTGCTCATTTTTTTTGTAACTGTCAGTTATTTAATGAGTAAGAAAGCTTAGTGTGTGATGTTAATGAATTCCTCCTCATTGCAAGTAAGACTAATATGCAAACATCTTATTAACCAATTTCATATTTCTTTTCTAATTATCATAGTTTTGTATAAATGATGCCATATGAGAAGTGAACAAAGTATCTCTGATAAAAGATAGAAAAATATTTAAAAGACTAGTGGTTAGACTATTTAATCTATCATCCACTGTGAAACCTGTTTACCTGCTTTGTTTTAAATATGTTTCTCCGTAGAAAATAACATAGGAAGTAATTCTAAAAAGATCATTTTTCTTGCAACACATTTTCCAAAGGGAGTTAAGATTTCCTTCATTGTTTTAAAACTGTTTTCCCCTCGCTGGCTCAATTCTTCCCATTGTTGTTTCCATCTCTCTCTCAACTTATTTGGCACTTTTTTTTTTTTTAAAGATTGATTTATTTATTTCTACAAGCACTGGGTACAGTCAGAAGTGCGGGAGGGTGAGAGAATTCACCAGAGCCAGAGCAGGGAACAGAATAGGCAGACCGACGAAATACACTGCTGATGGGAGCAGCGGGCACGGCAGGATAGGTCTGCCTGCCATGTGGGACCCTCTCTGGTGGCCGGGGATCGAACTGGTGCTGTATAGGCTGCGGGCAGCTTTGCAGCCCAGCGTTCAACCGCTGTGCCACCAGGGGAGGCCCTTATTTGGCACTTTTTAAACAAATAAAATACATACCTAGAGTTGGCTTTGTAGTTCTACATTTTGTTAAAAATAACGGAACTGTAGGCAGTAAAATGACTACAGGAAGTGATTTACTTCCTTTGGTAAGTTTTTCATGCATGTGCCAACCCCTGAGAAAAGTGGTAAAAGAGCTGATGTTGAGGAGTCTTGATCGTTCATTACTACATGGGACCTTAGGGATCACATTATCAAATGACAACTATTCAGGACAAATGTGTAATTTGCAAAGAACACAATGACTTTCAAGGTCATACAAACAGATATTGGTAATCCTTTTTTAAAAACAGCTTTATTTAGCTATAACTTACATATCAAAGTGCAGTGTTTAAAGTGTACCATTCAATAGTTTTTAGTATAGACTAAAAATAATTATCACCATTATTTAATTTTAGAATATTTTCAGCATCCACAAAGCTTTAGCAGTCCCTTCGGGTTCTCTTTTCCTTTCCCCAGTCCTTGGCAACCAATAATTCACTTTCTCTATAAATTTGGCAGTTCCAGGTTTTTTGTCATTTCATATAAGTATGATCATACAATGTATGGCCTTTTGTGTTTGGCTTATTTCAATTTATATATTTTCAGAGTCCATCCATGCTGTAATGTATCTCAGTACATCATTGGTTTTGTTTTTTTTTCCTGATTAATTTATTTTTCCTTTATTCCAACTTATATTTTCTTTTTTTATTTAAATTTTATTTTTATATTCCCCATACAATTACAACCCCCTTATTTTGACCCCATTCCCTCCTTCTCCCCCCCCCCCAATAGAGTGTCTCTGGTTCATAGTTGTTTGTTGATTTTGATATTTTCATCATTGCTTTTTATAGCCAAATATACCACATTTTGTTTATCCATTCATTATGGGTATGTGAATTGCCTCCACTATTTGGCTATTATGAATAACGCTGCCATTGACATTTGTATACCGGTTTTTGTGTGAACATATTTTCATTCCTTTTGGGTATATGCCTAATTGTGGAATTGGTAGATGCTCTGATAAATCTTTTTAACAGTTTGAGGGACTGCCAAACTGGCTCCAAGGGAGCTGTACATTTCCACCAACAGTATATTGAGGGTTCCAGTTTCTCTACATCCTTCAATTTTAAAAATTAATGTAATCTGTTAAATTTCAGCTGTGAAAAATTATGCTTATTATGTGAAAGCCTAATGGTTGATGTGTTTCTGCACATTTTAGTCAGGGCCTGGCATTCCCAAAACTTTTGTGGTAATTAGACATTTGCTTAAAGCCAAGAAGGAGGGTCACTGCTAGTAGCAGATGGTAAAAACCACCAAAGTTGATGTCTTTAATGTATATTTTCATAGGCTATCTGGCAACGTATTAAGGTATTTTATACACAGTATCTCTTGTAGTTCTTCTAGTAGGTTAAATAACTTTCCCAGGGTCACCAGTCTAATGTGTGATTGACTTAGACTTCAAACCCATATCAGTCTGACTTTAGAGCTGAGACTTGAGATTCTAATCTAATACATGAGATTCTGTGTTTGGTTTATTAACTCAAATTATAGATACTTGAGTTGTGTATTACTCATTATTCATTAAATATGTATTACTATATATTTTAAGTTTGTTGACATTGCTTTTCAGTTATCCGCAGTAAGACCTATTTTATAAAACCTAATAATCAAAGAACTATTTTTAAATAAAATGCATATCTAGGAATATGGTGTTCAATATGTGAAACTTCTTGTCATGCTAACTGCATTTGTCTGCATGTTGTAAGAAAATTGTATTTTGAAGTCTGACATAGTGCCAAATCATAATATTTGTTTCTTCCCCACCAGATTGTGGAAAGAATTATGGATCTACCCACGTTACTGAGGCATGCATTCAGGGAAATGTTTTCAGTCGGGGGCCTTTTCTGGATGTTCCGTATCAGGATAATACTTTGTTTAATGGGAGCCTTTTTCTATCTTATCTCACCTCTAGATTTTGTACCTGAAGCCTTGTTTGGAATTCTAGGATTTCTAGATGATTTCTTTGTCATCTTTTTGTTGCTTATCTATATCTCTATTATGTATCGAGAAGTGATAACACAGAGATTAAACAGGTGAAAAAAAGGAGTTTACAAAAATATGAGCTAATGTGTAAAATCAGATAAAAGGACCCATGACAGTATAAAGTATTTGAATATTACAAGCTTAAAAACCACTGTATGACAAACATTCATCATCCGGCAAATGCCTAACAATATATGACTGGAATTTTTATGTCACAGTTTCTAACAGTAATTTACAACTGTATCTTGATTCTGTGTTGTCTATAAAGCTTCTGGGGAAAATGTGGAATTATATAAAAAGGGATGCTTTTATATCTTCTCTCCCCCAAATTACTCAGATTAATTGGATGTATAGTAGTATCTTAGTAAGGATATATATTGTTAAATGTACATTTTATCTAATTTTTCCTTCAGTGAGTACCTATATATCGCTGAAACTCATCTAAATACTTTTGTTAAAATAAACTATTGTACAATATTGAGGAAAAGCCAGTATTTCTTTTAGTAATACCTAGGCTTTATGTATTTGGAGCAGTTCACTATTTCCATTCTGATATAATTCTTTGTTATCAGCTGAAAGTGAAAGAAACTTGAACTTTATTATCTGATTTCATATTCTGATTTACAGAAAAGTTCTTAATAGATGTACGATATTTATCTCTAGTCAGCACACTTGATAGTCTCAGTTACAACATTTAAACAAGTTTGATCCTTCTATAGGAATAGTATAGGAAAGTAACTTATTTTTTAGGAACCTGGATAATACTGCAAACATGCATTTGTGAGGCAAGAAATTCATGGCTGGCTGTATGCATGAAAGATATTCGGAGGGTACTAGAACATTAAATTTGACGAGAAATTACTGACAAACTGCAGCCATAAATGGGCAAATATGTTTTCTCTAGTCAGACACTTTTGTAATACTGTCCCTAGATGGCAGTGTAGCGCCCCAGTTTATCATGTCTGATGCAAATGATCAAATGTTATCCCAGGTAACGCAACAGGAAACTTACCTTGGTTTACTGATAGCTCCAACATAAGGCTCCAAGGCTTTCTTCTGCAGTTTTCTGGGAAAAAATCAAAACCACAAGTATTATGAAATGCTAACTCCCTCAGCTGGCACTGCTCACTAGTGAACAGCAAGGTACTCTTTGATGCCCGGGGTCAGTGTTAGCTCAATCACTGATATTCATACTGTCCATTCGTGTATTAGTGAAACTCGCTATATACAGATAGGGAGGAAAAGAAAACATCTCTCATTCTCGCAAGTTAGATTAGGCATCAACTAATGAGATGAATGAAATATCAGTAACAGTGTTTTTTAATGTGGGCCTCAACAAAACTGTTACTTTGTCTCAGAGAAAAACAAAGTTTAAAAATAGCACATTATAATTAAGGCAAATTCTTGCATACTTTTCATTTTATTCTTAGGATAATTATGTCAATGAGACAGAATATCACCTTCCTTTTCATAGATGGCATCTGTTATAGATAAAAAAAATTTTTGCCTGAAGATACTTATACAAACAAATAACTGAAATATTAGACCAGTAACTCACACATGGGTTCAGAGAGACTGAAAGCTATTATGAAAAGGGGATCTTTTGGAAGACTTTCCCAACACAAGAGCAGGATAGCTTGGGTACTCCTAAGAAGAAAGGTCTGGAAAGATAATGTACCAAGACTTAACGAATCCTAATTCTACACTTCCAAATCAAATGTCTAATAGGGTAGTACACGTCACAGAAAAATATTTTATCAGTCACCAACTTGAAATGTACCAGACAAGAAACACATTTCCTACCAGTTACAAATTTGGTGTGGGGCTATTGGAGTATCATTTTTGGAAAGGATTTATTTAATTTTCCATGCATGTGTTCCGCTTCAAATGTTGCATTTCTAGTTAAAATAACTTCATTATAATGTTTAGTTTTCCTTCCAAGACTTTCCTGGTAGACGTGTATAGTACCAAATTTTGTAACATACAACAACACTGTATGATATAAAGTCTCTTTAAATTGAAAAGGGAACATGTATACATTTCAGAATTTTAGATCTGCTTATGATGCCATCTTTACTGATCACTGATAGACAATAGAGATGGGATCTGAGAGAATAAAGCAATCAGTGTTTTAAACGTCATAATAACACTTCTGATTCATAGTTAAAGAGTATGTAAGTCAAAGCAACATTATGGATTTTTGTAAACAACAATACTGTAAATTTCAAATAAACACACGGTCCAACCCCAGGAGCAGATGATGATTTGGGCAGCTCTGTGGGGAACAAGATGGAGGAAACATCTGTTCTAAATGTCCACTGGAGCAGTGGTTTCAGCGAGTGCAATTTTCTGTTTAAGAGGAACTTTTCTAGGAAGAATGAACTGCATTGGTCCCTGTGGCTGTGCAGATACCTACCTCACAGAGTTGTTGCAAAGGATTGACCATTTGGTTCAAACTTTGTGATTTAAGAGTTTGTCAAGCAGTTATTTTGAATAAAAGCCAACATATCTAAAATTTAAAATTGGTGTTATGTTCCTTTTTCTTTGATAATTGTTCTTTAAAATTCAGAATTCCTGAAATCGCATTCAATGTAATGGTTACAATGGCTTTTTCACTCATGGACATCCAATGTCTCATTGTATTTCTAATTAACCTTACTTAGGTATTTTTTAATTAGGTGGAAATGTTTTTGTTTTTTGAAGAAAATTTTAAGTTGGACAATCTGTTCTGAATAGTAAGAGTGGAATTGTAATTAGAGGTTAGGGTTGAACATTTAGTTTGGGTTGAGGGGATGTTTTACAAAGAATTCACCATTCAGTTAAGTATTTTTAAAAAAATATGTGCAGGTCAGGCCTCCCTGGTGGCAGAGGTGTTAAAAGTCTAAGCGCTATCAAGCTATCACCAGCCACTGTGGCATGAGTGTGATCTCTGGACAGGGAGCTGACCCACGTGGCGAAGCAGACCTCTCCTGTCTCGCCAGCTGCTCCCCTCAGCAGTGTATTTCAGTAGGTCTGCCTATTCTGCTCCCTACTCTGCCTCTGGTGAATCCTCTCACCATCCCCACCCCCTGCACCTCTGGCTTATACCCCAGTTCTTTTATGCATAAATAAATAATCTTTAAAAAATTATGTGGCGTTCACCCATTTACCCATAAATTTTGAAGGAAGGAAACAGGATTATATTTCACAAGGAGTAAGAATGTGTATTTCATTTCCAGTGTAAGGAAAGCTAACCAGAAGAAAGGGGAGCAAAGGAAAGAATTTGGCTGGGGGAAATCCAACTAAACAATCACTAGGTGGCTGGTTTCACTTGAAATAAACCTCAAGAGTATGCCACCCTGGCTGGTGATCCTCCAACGTGTCCTCAGCAGTTTGCATTCCCCACCTGTGGGAACTATCTTATATTTTCTTTTGACATTCCCCAGTCCTACAACCCCTCTGCCTGTTGTCCCCTCCCCCCACTTCCTAAAGCACCCATATCACTCCAATCCCTATTTTGTTGGGGATCTAAAAGTCATCTGCAATTCAGTAAAAGGCATTACCATCCATCCATCCATGTAAATGCTCAAGATAAAAACTCAAGCTGAAGTCACCCTTGATATCTGGATTCTTCCCCCTTCTCATCAGCAAGCCCTGGGATGTCTACGGCTGGCATATGTCTAGACTCAACCGTTCTACCTTTGCTGCCGCCACCTCAGCTCAAGTTACCAACACCTCTTACTTGCCTGCTCTTAACTGGTCTGCTTACTTGCACTGTTGCCCCCTCTGATAAACTTTACTACGTAATAGCCAGGGTAACCTTTTAGAAAGGTCCCCAGACCAGGGGCATTAGATCATGTCTCCCCTACCTAAAATCAGCCTGGGGCTGCCTGCTCCACTTAAAATTGAAACCCAGGACTTAACTTGTTTCTTCACCCTCACATCATGTCCTCCTCCCACAGTTCACTGGATTCTACAGCCACAGGCGCCATCCAGTCCTAGAAATATTAAACTCTTTACTGCCTCAGGTACTTAGCACATACTCCAGGAGTGCTCTCCCCAGCCTCCCTGCACCCTTTTTCTTCACATTACTAGATTTGTTCCCTCCTCAGCAACCTAACTACCCTCACTAAAAGTAGATAGTGACCCTCTCTCCTTTCACTCATCCCTTTACAGCATTCTAACCCCCCCCAAAAAAAAACAGCTGAGTATGTACAACAATCTTGTTTATTACAGAGCAATAAAAATAGGGAGGCTTTTTTTTTTTACTGAGGTAACACTGGTTTATAACACTGTGATTCAGAGGTATAGGACCACACCTCTTCAGCTGTATTGTCACCATACCTCACCCACCAGTGAAGGCACTTAGTCCTTCACCATCATCCCCCTCATTAAAATATAAACTCTACGAAGACTATGCTAGTCTTGCTAACTAATATATTCCCAGACCTAAGGTTATTAAGTGCTAAAAGGAGAGAGAACAAGAGATCACTTCATACTCCTTCACTGTTATTATGCAGGCATGAGCCACCATCATTCTCACATGATCACAAAAGTGTCCGACCAGTCTTGTCTCTCTGCCTCTAAGTTAACATGTGCTCTCTATACACAACACAGCAGAGCAGTCATTTAAAAATATTGTGTCACCTGTGTTAAGCAGCCAGCGCTGTGTTGCAGTGAAAGTCAAAGTCCTTTACATTAGCCCTAAACGACCTTGTCCGTTTCTTTCTCTGGCCTCATCTCCTATTTGGCCTTGCTAGCTCACTCTGCTCCAGCCACACAGGCCTCGCTGCTGTTCTTTGAACAGGCCAGGGACACCGGGCCTCAGGAGCCTTGCCTTAACCATTTGCTCTCCCTGCAAGTTTTTTCCCCCAGATATCCTCACAGCTAACTCTCACCAACTCCAAATTGTTGCCCAGTGGTCACTCCCTCTATTAGGCCTATCATGGCCACTGTATTTCAAAAACAACCCCCTCACTCCTACATAGCACCTTTCACCTTATAACATGCTCTGTGGTCACATATGTTTGAGTTTCCTCCAATCTCCAGCAGAATATTTGCTCCATGAGGGCAGCAATTTTTGTCTATGTATCCCACGCCCCTAGAACCATGCACAGAACACAGAAGATTTTCAGTATTTGTTGACTCAATTGATGAGTAAAGAATTTGAGTAAACTCCAGGTTAAAATATACTTTTTTCAGGCCTCCCCGGTGGCGCAGCGGTTGAGTGCTGGGTTGCGGGGCTGCCCGGGGCCTCTGCAGCACCTGTTCGATCCCCGGCTGCTCCCCAGCCAACGGAGGAGGGTCCTGCATGGCGCGCAGACCTCCCCTGCCGCCCGCTGCTCCCCTCAGCAGCCTTCTGCCTGCTCTGCTCCCCACTCATGCTCTGGTGAATTCTCTCACCCTCCCGCGCTTCTGACTGTACCCAGTGCTTGTATAAATAAATAAATAAAATAAATCTTTAAAAAAAAAAGTTTCACTTTAAAAAATATACTTTTTTCAGTTCAAAGCATTTATCAATATTCTGATATTTATTGTACAGCAAATCACAAAGCAGTAATTACAACATTTCAGGACCTGGGAAAATGCTAATGAACTATTATTTTGGAACAGGGATATGGCTCTGAAAATATTTTAGACACATGGTTTCTGGGGCCGGTTGATTCAACCAACAATTTCTGGATGCTTAATTTAAGGCAGACACTGCAAGCTGCTGGGGTTACAGTACTAAGACATTTTCCTCAACAAGACCTCAGTTTTGATGAGGAAGACAAACAGTATACAGACACTGCAATATGGTTCACAACTGTATATAGAGGTAAGTGCACGTTTTCACTGGAACAAGAGAGGTGCCTAAACTGGGAAGGTTAGGGAAAGAGGGTAAGAAAAGCATGCTGGAGAACATAAAATTTAAGCCTCGTTTTACAGGTGGCCAGGTCAGGGAAGGGCATTTCAGGCCAAGAGGAAAATCCTGTTTAAGGCAGCCATAAGAGAATCCACTCTCTGCATAAAATACTGGAGAAGAGTTAAGGACAAGTGGAAGCAGATGACAGTGCATGACAGGTACCTGATTCCAAATGACTTTATGGCTCACCAAAAGAAGTCTGGATTTCTGCCCCGGTAGAGGCGGTAGCCTCTGAAACATGTAAGCACGGGAGAGAAATCAGTTTCTGTCGAGGATAAAATGGAGAAGGGTAGAAATGGATATTTAGACAGGGGTTGCGGCAAGGCTAAGAGACCATGAGGGTCTGAATAAAAACAGCGACCGGAGAAATGGAAACGGAGGGATTTTCGGAGAATTTATTTAATCTATAAATTAAGCTGATGCAGAGAGTGAAATCTAAGATGACTCAAAGGTTACTGGTTTAAGCAACTGAATAGATAACTCACAGATAATATCGAAAACAAAAGCGATTTATGCAAGAAACGAGATTCAGGAAATCGTGGCATGGACTGACTTCAACGAGGAGGGCAGAGAATGGAACTCTGGGGAAACACCAACATAAGGTGGGAAGGGGGCGGAGACAGGGAAAACTTCAGTCATGACTTTACTCAGCGGTCCTCTATCCAGCATTCCCGGTTCTGATTAACGGAGAGGAAAACGGGACGAGCAAAACTGGTGTGAAAATCGCTGCGGCAGTTCACGATTGCCAAGCCAGCACCTGGAGAGCACCACGGCAGTGAACAGCCCAAACAGGAGCCAAAGGTTCTGCCAGTGAGTGCCTGTGTGTGCGCGCGCCTGACCTCACAGGGACGCGGTACCCCCGAAGAGACGGCTAATGGGGTGAAGAGTAAATCTGGGGAAGAAGTCCACGAAGTTTCACAAAACAGACGTCATCCGTGGCTGTCCTTTTAAAGAAAAGGGCGTTAACGCTCAATGGCCTCCGCTTTACACCAGACCTTAGTCCACTCGACCTAATAGATGACCCAACACACCGTACTAATCCCCACCCTAAACCACCTCCGATGAATTAATCCAAAGAAACACCACCGGCGGCGCGAGGCTAGCGCGGGACTCACATCGCCCTTCGCCACTTCCCCCAAGCAGTTCCTCTCTCTCTCTTCCGGAGGCAAACTCGGAGGCCCCGCCCACTTCCGCAACGTCGAGTCCTCCGCGCGACAAGCCGGCGCGCCAGCCAATAGCCTGCTTTCCAAGGAACGTTACCTCTGACCTCAGGGCTAATCAGAAACAGTGGGACGAACCCCTCGCGAGAGGTGAGGTTGAAGCTGCCTCCGCCATCTTGGAGATGGGAGACGGGCGAAGGCTGCGGTCTTTCTGCTAATGCAAACAAAAAAACGGGCACATTAGTCGCCCCCTACCCCCCAGTGAAGCTATCATCCCTGGAACTGTTGACCAAAGCTACAGAAGAAGCCAGGGTGTCCAAGCCGAGCCCAGCGACAGAGAGAGCAGCTTCCCCTGCCTGCAGGGGCGGCAGGGGTGAAGTGACTGAGAACCGGAAGGATGGTGCAGTCCTGTTCCGCCTACGGCTGCAAGAACCGATACGATAAGGATAAGCCCGTCTCGTTCCACAAGTAAGTGGCCCGCGCGCCTCGCGGGGCCGGTCCCTGCAGGGGCTGGGGGCGCGCGGCCGTTTCGGCTCGGGGGCGGAGCCAGGCGTGTGTCCGCGCGAGACCCAGCGGGGGCGGGGCCGGGGGCGGGGCGCGGCCGGACGCTCCCCGGGGTCTCGGCGGGCCGGCGCGGGGGGCGTGCCCGCCTGGGGGGGCGGTGGAGCGGGCTCTCGGCGGCCGGCGGCGAGAGTGCTCCGTGCGCGTTGCCGTGGCGACCGTTTCTCGCGCTGGGAATCCGGTCCCCGGCGCGGCAGTCCCTGGCTGCCCTGGGCGGCGCGTTCCCGGCCCGCGCGCGGTGCTGGAGGCCCCGAGGGTCGTCGGGTGACGGGCCAGGAGGCGCCTGGTTTCGCCACCTGGGTCACGGAGGCGCTAGGTGGGGATTACTCCGTAGTAGATTTGAAATAGAAACAAAGACCTTTGAAAAGTGGGGTTCGGGCCTCCCTGGTGGCACAAGGGGTTAAGCACCGCTCTATGAAGCAACCCGCAGCCTCTGCCGCGCGAGTTCGATACCCCAGCCAGCCTGGGAGCAACTCACATGGCGCGGCAGACCTCTCCTGTCTCACCTGCTGCTCCCCCAGCAGTGTGTTTCAGTCAGTCTGCCTGTTCTGCTCCCCACTCTGTCTCTGATGAATCCTCTCACTCCCCTACCCCCGCATCTCTGGCCTGTACCACAGTTCTTGTATGCAGAAATAAATAAATATTTTAAAGAAAGAAAAAAAGAAAAGTGGGGTTCGCCCCGTTTTCGTTCTTGCTGTGCAGAAGTCAGCGGCAATGCAGTCAAGGATTGATTTGGGGCCAGGATTGCGGGAAGCATGTTTTTGACCCAATTTCTAGGAACCAAGTTTTAAGGACCGCTCAGTTTTTGAGAAAGCGTTGGTACTGCCAAGATGAGTAGTTACCTTTTCAGTAGACGGTATTAATAACATGGGGAATAATGATCAGGACCATTGTCAAGTGCCATAATAAAGGACAGTGTGAGCTATTTGGGGCGCCTAGAGGACGCCCTTAAAGAAGAAGCTGACCCACAGCTTTCAAAGCTGTTTTATCCACAAGGTGCTGCAGTTAGAGTCCTGGAAAAAGTTCTCTTGAAAACCGGGGGTGGGGGGTGGGGATCCCTGCGAAGTGGAAATGCTTCAATGATAAGCAGCTAGCTACAAAATAGGACACGATGGCATTTTCATGCAGCCACGTTCAGTACTTACAAATTTGACTGCATTTATATTAGCTTTTTTTTTTTTGCAAGAATTCCCGACTATAAATGTCCGATAGGGCCTCCCCGGTGGCGCAGCGGTTGAGCGCTGGGTTGCGAAGCTGCCCGCAGCCTCTGGTGCTGGTTCGATCCCCGGCTGCTCCCCAGCCACCGAAGGAGGGTCCCACATGGCGCGCAGACCTCTCCTGCCGCCCGCTGCTCCCCTCAGCAGTGTACTTCAGTCCTTCTGCCTGCTCTGCTCCCCGCTCTGGCTCTGGTGAATTCTCTCACCCTTCCCCGCTTCTGACTGTACCCAGTGCATGTATAAACAAAACAAACAAACAAACAAATAAATAAAACATGCCTCTATAAAAAAAAAAAAACCTATAAATGTCCGATAACTTAAGAAATTCGAGCCAATAAGTGGCACAATAAATGGATTACTGAAAGTCCAATACCTAGAAAAGTAAACTTTTAAATAATCCTTCAATTTATTTATTTATTTTTGTGGGACACTGTTTATGAGTAACGGGAAGTGGATGCATTTTTATATGCTTGATGTAATATGAAATGAGAGTGCCTATGTTATAGAGCAACCCCGATATTAAACGGGTTCCTGGCTGTGGGTCCTCACCCGCGCGCTTTAAAGGGACTTATGAATACTCTACTCCAGACACACACAAAAGGGTTAATAAAAGGTTTATTTACAAGAGAAAAAGAAATAAGGAAAATGTACAACTCAGGGAGAAAATAGGGAAATAAAGTTTTTAATGCGTCCTACCCGAGACCCGAGGACCTGGAAACCAACCCAAAGTCACTCTCAGAGCTGGCCGGACAGACGGCTGCGAGCTGGCGGAGAGCCAAAAATGGGGGATCCTCCAGAGCCCACGTGTCTGCCTTTTATATCCACCTGGCTGCTTAACCCCACCCTCAGGTCCCAGCCACCTTCCCTTTGGTGGTGATGGGATTTGGAGTTACCAGTGTCTTTGACTTTGACCTGGGGTGGGGGTGGAGTCCACAAAACCTATATGGAATTAGCTTTGGGACATCCTTTTCCCCCCTAACAATTCCCCCCTTTCACTTTTTGCCACCATTTCCATGGTGATGAAGATCGAATATATGGAGGTTGGGATGCAGTCTCAGATGAACATTTTGTCAGGTTACAGTGTGAAAGAAAACCAGTCTCTCCAGGTATTTGTCCATTGTGGAAAGCAAAAGTCCTCCACTCCAGGAAAAATAGTTCATCAGTTTGAGCCAAAAAAAAATCTGGAGGCATTAGCCAAAACAAGACAGCAGATATGTAAAAATTACAGGAAAAAAAAAAATCTTAAAATGGTTCAACTGATGTAAAAACACAAATTTTCTCAACCTTGATCCCAAACTTTTAACAGCAAAGCAAAAGTTTGCAAACTAAATCTACTTTTAAACCATTTTTCCTATTTTTTTTTTTTTTTTTTGCATAAAATCACAGGGTAGAAATAACTAACAGCAGTTTTTAGCTGGCTTTGTTGAAATATTCCATACAGGATCAGAGCGAACCGGTGGCATCCAGTCGATGTATGCTTCAGGTATAAAGTTGGTCTCATCAGACTCCACCTGGGCTTTCCTCTTCTCGAGGGTACCAGGGCATTTTCGTTGGCCGGGTTGTCCAGTCCTGCCAATGGAGGCAAGCTTCCTCACCTTCTTTGGAGGTCTCTGGAACCCTACAAACAAGGCAAACAGGTTCTCCTCTTCTTGGTTCAGCTCTTTTTCAACTTTCTGGAAGAACTCCACACAAAGCCACACAATCAAACTCACGTCCAATTTTTTTGTTAAAACAGACAAAATCCCTATGGAAGTTATGCAAAAACAGACTCTGAAATAAGTAGCAAAAATTACTACCACTATTTGTATGCTGTGTTGGTATCAAGGGGAGAGAAAATGTGACAAGTTAGCTTTGCTGGAAAAAAAATTGCAACCTTTCTGCAGATTCTGGTTACTCAAAACAAAACAAAAAACTTTGTGGATCCAGGACAGAATGCATAAAAAAATTTCCAGTATTATGTCAAAGAAACCTTAGTAAATGTCAGGTGGAGAGATCTTGAGATAATTGATGCCATTCCCGCCCCCCCCCCCCCCCCCAGTGGAAAGAACACTTAACACTTCCAGGATTCAGTTCTCTCAAAGTCTGGGAATAGGCACGGAATGATTACACAATCACACTCATCTCTTTACTTCCTTCTTCCCCTATTTCTAATGACTTGGCAGAGAATCTGAAAATATGAAAAACCCTCCCCTGGCACTGGAAACAAGTTAAGAATGACATTCACACAACAAATACCGTGTTTCTGCTGGATGTTAAACAGTGGAGTAAATGGAAAGAAGGGCTAGCCTGCAATTCATCCTTTATATTAAAGAACCGAGGGGGGTTTTGTTTGTTTGTTTGTTTGTTTGTTTGTTTTTTAATAGAGGCATGTTTTATTTATTTGTTTGTTTATTTAATTGTTTTTTGTTTATACATGCACTGGGTACAGTCAGAAGCGCGGGAGGGTGAGAGAATTCACCAGAGCCAGAGCGGGGAGCAGAGCAGGCAGAAGGACCGAAGGACACTGCTGCGGGGAGCAGCGGGCGGCAGGAGAGAGTCTGCGCGCCATGTGGGACCCTCACCCGGTGGCCGGGGAGCAGCCGGGGATCCAGTGGGCGCTGCAGAGGCTGCGGGCAGCTTCACAACCCAGCGTTCAACCACTGCGCCACCGCCACCGGGGAGGCCCTGTTTCTTTGTTTTTTAAGGTAAATCTAAAGCATCCAGCAGAGAAGGAAAAGGGAGAGGGGCCATAACAGGGAAGGGAAGAGCACGAGGGACTATGGTGATGGTTCACCAGTAATGTGGTGGGAGATTTATGGGGACACCTGAGGAAATAAATGAAATATTGTACAAAATGAACAACGATGTAAAAAAATAAAAAGTTTAATTTTTAAAAAACCCTGGTTTTGGGAGCAGTGAGAAAGATCTTGATAGAACCCCACAAACAACCTGAACATTTGAAATCCTTGAGCCAACAGGTCCTGGGTGCTGAATTTTACCAGTGATTGCTACCATAGACGGTACTTCTTTCTAGAGGCCATTTCTTCTGTATGTAGCAGGGATGCTACAGGTGTACCTCTTTCCCTGCTTTCTCTGTGGTGGCAATGGGAAGAGCTTTGCTGGGCAAAGAAAAGAGACTGTCATAAATATCAGTTAGATACTGATGATTCCAGTAGTTAAGCTTTAGCACACTTTATATGGTAGAAAAACTCTACAACATAGATTTGAAACATCCTTCTTTGACTTCTTCCCATTCCTCTGGCTTATTCAGTCCTTGACCTGGAATGTAAAATCACAGTAAATTTAAATGCTTCCTAACCCCCATTTTCTGAGCCTTGTGGACATAATTAAGGGGTAAATAAAATAATTTTATTTATCATGATTTGACTATAGTTTGATTAACTCATAATTGTCAGACTTATTCTAAAATATCTACAAGCTTCTATTTCTCAGTACACAGGTAGAAATTTCTCAGCAGTTTTGTTTTACAATACACAGAAAATCACTGAGAAAATATATTGATTCATCCTCTAAGTTGGATTTCCCTTGAAACTTTTTAGTGTCTTCATTATGAAAAGTTAAACATTAATAAATGAGATAGAGAGTAGTGGTAGTGTTTTAATCAGCTACACCTTACTTAGTGTGTTAATATTAGTGTAAGATAGTTCTTTCCTAAAAGGGAAAGTTTGAATGCTTTAAAATGATGATAATAATAATAAGGTTAAAGAACTGAAGCATGTCTTATTCTTAG